TATATGCATGCATTTTTTCATTTATTTTGATTAAAATATAATTTTTTAATTTTTTTTATTTTATTGTTTTTACTGTTTCTCAATGTCGTACCTGCACTAACCAGAGATACAGCCCTGAATTTTGTATAGCAACCCTGCACTGTATTTTTTAGGCACATTTTGGCATTATTGGATTAAGTGTAGAAAGTGTATTTTATGTACAATTAATTAAATTAAACTAGTTAACACTTGTCATCTAAATGTGGCATCGATTGAACTTTGCGTGCGAATCAAACTGAAAGCGAGCGTAGTAATTAAAATTTCACCACAATTACCTAAGCTAAGCCGACAGTAAAAATTAAAAGAACAACAACTGCAGTAGCAGCAAACAAAGAGATAGCGCCAGCCACAACCACGACAACTACACAACAGAGCAACCAATACAAAAACTCGTTTCTTGTGTGCGTGTGCGTTTCTTTTCTTTTTATTTGCATTGCAGGCAAAGCGGTCGCTGCGACATTTCGTGGCAGAGACTGACCACAAGAGGGGCGTGCTTGCATCTAGAAGTCCGTAAGCAGAAACAGCAGCAGATTGCAGCATTATGATGGTTGAGTCCGACGGTACCGCTGACGCCACCCGTCGTCTCAATGTTAAGAAACAAACGCTAGACGATGCCTACGCCGTGCCCGCAAATTTCCTCGAAATCGACGTTGTCAATCCGTTAACCACCATGGCGGCGGGCAAGAAGCGCTACACAGACTATGAAGTGCGCATGAGGGTGAGTAATACAGTCCTATGTCGGGGCTCCAGTGGGTCATCTACATTTGTATGCAAAATATCAGCGGGCAGAGCTTGCACAAAAGTGCCAAAACTGGTGATAAAGTAATCGTGGTTGTGTAAGTGTGTGCGTAACTGCTCTGGGGGCATTTGTATAAATGTGTGCTGTGTCTGATACGCCTATAAACTGAGCAATACTTATTAGTCACAACAAAAGTGAACTAGTATAGATAGTGTCTGACTGTTGGATACCCTGTCTGTATTTTTCAATTTGCATTTTACTAAGTTACATTTATATATCGATATTCAATGTTTATCATTTTTTGGATCTCTTACTATCTTAAAATTCCTGACAACCGCCGAAAATTATACCCAATATAAGTAAAACGCATTGTCACTACATTCATTTGTATTAGCAATAGGGTATACCAGCAGGCGTTTTGTGTAGCATTGTCCACAGACGTTCGCTTTGTGTCCGATTTTTGGGTGGCATTAAAATATACTTGAGTCATTCTCTGATATACGGATGTATGATATGCGGGCTGGAATAATAGATACAAATATTTTGAGGGCAATTGTATAAAATCAACTTTATATTGAACAATATTTTTACTCTTATGACAGACCAATTTGCCGGTATTCAAAGTAAAGGAATCGAGTGTGCGACGCCGCTACAGCGATTTTGAATGGCTAAGAAACGAGCTGGAGCGCGATAGCAAGGTAAGCATGCTGTACGGATACCTTTGAGCCACATTCTCATTTAGTTTTGGTTGATGAAACGCAGATTGTGGTGCCGCCATTGCCTGGTAAGGCATGGAAGCGACAGATGCCTTTCCGTGGCGACGAGGGTCTCTTTGACGAGAATTTCATCGAAGAGCGAAGAAAGGGATTGGAGGCGTTCATCAATAAGATAGCCGGACATCCGCTGGCGCAGAACGAGCGCTGCCTGCATATGTTCCTGCAGGAGAATGTCATCGATAAAAACTATGTGCCCGGCAAGATACGCAACACATAAGGTCGCTGATTCCCGCTCAGGATAGCAATAACAGCAGTAGCAATGCAATGAAGCAAAAGCTCGAAACGAACAAAACTTAAGAATTGAAAATTACGAAAAACCAATTAGGCAAAATCAATCCGTGTGTTGTATGTGTGCGTGTGTGTTTAGCCAGTTACGAGTAATAACGAAATAATAGATGTTAAAAAGAAATTGAAACACCAACTGCTTCTTCAGCTGGGGCGAGCGGATGTGGCTCAGTTAATGTTAAGCATGCTCCAGCTGAAGTATTGGGAATTTTTATTGCTAAATTAATATGTTTATATGCAATGGTATACATACAATACAAATTATATACTATACAATATATATAATATATATAAAATATACACACATATTTACCTTCTAGTGTACATAATACATACATACATCCATCAAAMCAGTACGGACTGGCCGTCGCACCGTCTCATCGCGACGAGTCCCATTGCAGGACAAGTCTGTAGGGCTTGAGAACGTCTCGAATCCGAGTGTGAGCACATCCCTGCTCCTCCTCCACCTCAATCCACTCCAAAAACTTTAGTTGTTGTATAAAATTTAAATGATTGAGTTAATAATTGCGACAGTAAAAAGTTACCCTCCACATCCATGGATTAGTACTATATATATATAATTATACAGTTGCAACTGTTGTGCAAATTACTGAATATTTTTGAATTATTTTAGTGAACAATATATGTATTGTATTTCGAATCAACTCAAAATAATTCCAATAATAATACATGTATTTTATTAAACTTTCCAATAGTTTTTTATTTATTTTTTGAAAACCTAAGCCATAGCAATCGACGCAAAGCAATTCGACATGTATTTTTACAGAGTATATCATAACTTATAATACACTTTACCCCAAAACTAATGCGTAACAATTTTCGCTTATATATTTAAATTTAAAAAACGTGATGTTTCGCAAAGTGTTAGGGTAAGTAATTCTATTTCCGTTTATTTTAAGATAACCTCTGGCCTAACTATTTTGAGCCAAACCTATTTTTATGTCTGATTTCACGTATCTATAGTTTATCCCGCTAAGAAAGCCTTGTTGTACAATTACATTTTATTAAAACAATTATTTGTGAACTGGTTTTTTTTTTTAATAATTTATCTTTTGATTTATTGCTGCAGTTTTAATTTTAACTCTTAAATTAATTAAAGGTATTAAACCTTACATGTTAGTTTTTAGATTTATTTTTAAAATTAGTTAAACAGAAAATTCATAAAATGAACAATTCTTAATTATTTAATAAAACGATCATCAGGTCGGCACGCACACAATGCAACCGTGCGTGCCGGCTCAGTCATTGTGCGCAGGGCTGCAACGTTGTGATGTGCGAGCGGGATAGCTATAGTATTGTCATAAGTGTATGTGTGAATAGGGTTGTCATGTATGTATGTGCTTTTTTTGTTTTTTTATTTTTGGCATGGACTCTGCGGATTCTCCGACGAAAACGCAAGACAGCGATGACGAAAATTACAATCTACTCTGCCAGGCCCATGAACAGTTCAACAAGTAAGCGCCGCACACAATTCATAAATCCATACATTCACAGACATAACCTATTTCCCGCCCAACAGTCGGGAGTATGACCGATGCCTGGAGCTGTTACAGCAGCTGGAGACGAAAGGTGAGAGCAGCGGCCTTATACTGCGTCACAATCGGGCAGTGGTGAATTATTACAAAACTGGTTGCCTGGAACACCAGACGCTGCTCAATGAACTTGAAAAGCTGGGTAATGACCAACCGGCGCCTGGCGAGCCGACTGTGCCGCTTGCACTAAAGAATGTCGGCAGCGCCCTTACCGTGGCACGCTACAACAAAGCGGTCATATACTTTCATCGGCATATGTACGGCACGGCACTGGATAGGCTAACGCCACTGGTGACCAGGCTGGAGGCACTGGAGAAGCAAATGGCTGCGCTTGTTGCCACGTTGCAGTTGCAGCTGCTGTTGGCCACCAATCAGCTAAATCGCGCTGAAGCATTTCTCGACTATTTACAGTATAAATTGAATTTAGTGGCTAGTGCACCCGGCGCAAGTGCCAGTAGCAGCCTGGAGGAACCGACAACAGCTACAGCCTCGACTGCCGCTGCCGCTGCATCAGGTGCTGCATCCGCAACAGCGCCCACAGCTGTGGCGAGCGCAACGCCAATTCTAGATAGTAGTGTAACGAGAGCTGCTGGCGAAAACGGTAGCATTCTCCGGCTATTGCAGTTGCTAACGCATGTGCTTAATCGCAAGCCTGTGGTCATAACCGAGGATGGGACACCAGAGATTGCGGCGCTGAAGGCGCAGCAGTATTACATCATGAAAGACTTTCAGATGGCCGCTAAACAGCTGATGCGCATCAACGATGACTGTACCCAGGCCGGGTAAGTTAGATTAGTCATTGGTTTAATTTTGTTTAACTAATGGCATTATTCTTTCTTTTTTTTTTAGAACTGTCACGCCGCAACTGAGCACGTGCATCGCCAACAATATGGGAGTTATCCATTTGCGTGTACGACATTACGCAATCGCGGCAAAATTCTTTCAGAATGCACTGCGCTTCGATCAGCAGCTAACATCGAATTTACGGCAATGCTCTCTGCAAACAATGGGATTGGCACGGTCGTGTGAGATCATGTATAACTTGGGCATCGCCATGCTGCATCTGCGTAGACCCAAAGAGGCGTTTCAGTGCTTCCTGGTGCCAGTTAAGCAGTACCACAGTAATCCACGTCTTTGGTATCGAATGGCCGAAGCCTGCATTATGGAGCATGAGGCGGTAAGCCATTATGCCTTAATCAATTCAATTTCTCTGATCATATTATTACATATTTTAGCAAAAACTACCTGGAAAGGATCGCCATACGATAGATAGTGGCCTAAACTCAACAGGATCTAAACCATATGGGTGAGTATCAAAATGTTAGCTTTGTAAAAGCGAATTGTAATTTTGTATGCATTTCTCTTGCACATCCCTGCAGAGCGCACTCCACTGCGGTGCCGGAGCCAACACTTGAATTTGCAGCTCTATGCCTGCGCAACGCTCTCACCCTATCTCTGCAATACAAGGCTAGTTTCTATATGGCTGCCTCGCCTGACGAAACACTGGATCCAAAAGACTCGTCACAGCAGCTATGGAGTCAAACACAGGACAATAACTTTTGCAACCCATCGAAGCCGATTAGCTTAGAATCGATGGAAAACATGTTAGATGCTATTTATGCGGCGCACAGCTTTGTGTCCCTGCGTCTGGGTGACCACGTCACCGCACTGGAAATGGCAAAGCATCTGCTGCAGAGCGAGCGTCTCTCCGACGCACACAAGTATGTCCATTTGCTACGAATGTGGGAGACACTTTCATAATAATATATTTAAAATACAGATTGCTGGGCCACATGTATGCGGGCGAGGCCTTAATGATGATGGACAAATCCGGGGAGGCGCGTGACCATCTAGAGCCAACTTTTGTGAATTCATTAAATGCTCTTGATCTGGAGACACGTGACTGGCAGCTAAAGTCCCTCGATGCTGCCCAGAATGTTGTCCGGTACAATTTGGCCGTTACTTTCGCCTTGCAGAACGATTTCCAGGCAGCCAAAAGTCTGCTGGGCACGCTGACACATCCGATTGTAAGCAAAAAAGCGTTGACTCTGCATCGTTACATTGAGCTCAAGATAAGCGCCACTGCACTCCATTAGACAACAGATGATGTAAATAACGTAGACGGATTCAATAAGCAAATCAATGCGGAATGTAAATATCAAAACCACTAACAGACCACTGTTAATATATCCTTAATGTCATTGAATTAAAGATTGTAAATTTATTTGCTGTGCAACAAAAGGAACTATCTGTATTTCATTTCGGTATGTTTCTAGTTTTAGTTCATTTCGTTTTGCAGTCAGTCCTATCAATCCCTTTTCTTGCATTTATCAATAATTGATTTAATACGAATATGCAAATATTTAAACACTTTTATATTATGACTGATGTAGGATAAGAAAATTAAAGTAAATATAAGTTCGACTCTAATCCTCTATGGTTTAGAAACTGTGCATCTTTGCATATTTGCCAAAAAGGGGGGTTTTCTAAATGTTCGTGACTTATGTAATTTGTAAAAATATAATATAATAAAAATCCAAGTCAAGTTGATATAACTTTGGCGATGCGAAGTACAGGCAGATACTACAGCCTTCACAATTTAAAACCTAGTATTAGAGAAAGAAATTCAATTTTAAAAAATATGAATTTAGTATTCATTTAAAATTTCTTGGCAAGTATTTCAAAATTCTCAACTCGATTTCGATAACTGCCATTCGGAAGCAGTTTATTCTAGTTTTAATTCAAAGACTTTAAGTCGAAACTATAAATAATATATTTATTAATCAGTACGTATATCCGCAGGTAATATCTTACAAAGAATCAACCATGGATTCAATATATATTCTTAGCTAAGTATTTGGCACTGGTAGAAGTTGTGGCTGCAGGTCCCTGGCATATAACACTCTATGGCCACGATTCTGCTGGGAGAGTTAAGATTTCAAGAGGAAATCTGAGAACCTGTTTAGTATCATATCACTTGACTCTTGCAGCACAGAAAAACATTCATTTTGTGGGGCTTTTTGATCAACGCCTGCGGCGCTGCTCGTATCGATTCATGGAGAGCACAATGTTGTCAAAGATATATTCGCGCACACCCAGACCGCAGATAAAGTCAAAGTGATTCCAGCGCTTCCAGGGTACCTTGTAGACGGCCTCGACGTTGGGCAGACGTGCGACCAGACGCCAGATATCCGCTGGTGCCACAATATAGTCGTTCTCCGCAAAGAAAATTGTGACCGGCGTCTTCATATTTTCCAGTACATACTCCGGTGGCTCCAGCTGCTGATAGTGCAGCCAGTTGAGTTCCGGGCCGTAGTCGTACTGTCGAAATTTGGTAGACACGTATCCCTGAAAATAGTGCATCAGCTGCTTCACGGAACCGCCCGCCGGAAAGTTGGCCATCAGATCCGGCAGCAGGGTCTTGTTGAGGAAGCGCGTATCATAGCCTACCGCTGGCCAGAGCCGGGTGATGCACACCAAAGGCTTTTCATTGTCCAGACAGGTCATCGACAGAAACTTCTTAAAGAACTTGTTCGTTGAGAACATCTCAACGCCCTCGAGGATCTTGGAGATGTAGTTGCGCGTGCCCAAGATCGGTCCGATGATTTTCGCCAAGCCACTTTGCGTATTGTCCACATAGGCAACCGGAGCCAGCAGCGTGGCCGTCTTAAAGACCGCATTGTACTGGGGCAGCATGGAGTTGAGCACCAGGAACACTGTGCCGCCCTGAGAGATGCCCACGAAATGCATCTGCGATACGCCGCTAGTGCGCAGCACATGATCAATCTGGGCAGGCATATCGTAGACGCTCATCTCGTGCCAGCTAAAGTTCCAGAACTCGCGATCTGTCGTGTTGAGCCAAAGATTGTGGCGGCAATAGATGTTGCCGCGATTATTGCCCAGCCACACATCGTAGCCAGCGCGCCACAGTAAATAGGCCAGCGAGTCCTCCCGTCCGTTGAGCAGCCACCTGCAATTGGACAGCTGCAGATATCAGTTACCAGGTCAAGCGGAAGACCTGCCACGCATACGCACACATCCGACGAGGCATAGAGACCGGAGAGCAAGAATACCACAGGGCGTCGCAGTACGGTGTAGAACGTTCCATTCGCATCCAGCTGGACTTGGGGTATACGATGTAGGGTCAGCACATACCCATCCTTAGTTATTACCCTGTGCTGCTCCACATTGTAGCCATCGTGCTGTATGCGGCGCACCTGCAACGAGCACAAAAACCGAGCAAACATTGGCAGGAAGTCACACTCAGGTATTTACTTGGCTAACACAAATATTAACACACACACACACACACACACACACTCACACACACACGCGCAGTTGGCACATTTATTGCTTGACATTTGGAGGCCAAGCGATGCGTGCGTTGTGACATTCAAGTAATTAGGAATTCCAGTGGCGCGCGCACGTCACAAAGCTTGGAACGGTCTCTCCTCCCCAGGCAGAGCTGGTGCCACCACACCTACCGCATCTGTGATAATAATTTCGCGCGAATGTCTTATGGTGGCCAGCACCTGGCGCAGCAGCAGAGCCACCATGACGAAATCCAGGCCCAGACGCAGTAATCTCATGGCTGGCAGGATGGCGATTGCATGAAAGCTGGATTAAGTAATAATATTAACCGTTTAGTCCGAACCGGTTCGCTATCGATCGAAAATGAAAGCTGCCACGCGTTTCTTTGCCAGAGCCAAAAGGATCGAGCGCACACAATGAAAGAAGAAAGTGCCGCCGGAGCTTTCAAAAACAACGGCCGAGGCACAGAGACCAGCGCCAAGAAGCAGTCGCAATATGTTCGCATGAATGGATATGAATGAAAATTGCAATCAAAGTGCCGTCACCGTTGCCCTCTTCGTCGTCGTTGTCGTCGTCGTCGTCGCGATCACGATCGTGGCCAGCGCTCGCTGCTAACGTTCGATTCGAATGTGTTTTATCGACTGTGCACGCGTTTGCGGCTTTGGGCCGCACCGAGCGACAATCGTCGAGTCGCAGGGCTTGTTACTCACGCCGCTCCAAGCTCCAATCGGCTGAGCCACTGAGCGCACTCAGCAAGTCAGCCAGCCAACCAGGCAGGCAGTCAGCCAGCCGGCCACCTGCATGTCGTGTGCCTTACCTGTGCGCCCAAGCTGCGGCGCATCCGGACGCCACTACCTTCAAGTGAGCGTCAGTTTTCTACACTGCGCTTAATACTTGTAGCCAATTGACCGCCCCTTCTCCTGAAACTTTGCCCCTCTCCCCCTATCCTCCTTCTCACCTATGCTTCGCCCAATGACTTGGCAAAATGCCATGGTAGTTTTTTAATTATAGCAGCCCACTACTGAAAGAGAGCCTATGACCATAAATAAAAACTGTTAACGCTTCAATTACAGTGCTTAAAAAAAAATAGGTGCTCTACTGCAAGAACTTGTTTTATTTTGAGAATATTTGTATTTTTTTAAATTTTGTATTTTTAAAGGTTTAAAATATTTTATTTTTAATATTTAA